CGCGGGGGCGAGGGGGTGCTAACCCAGTGTTGGAGCGCCTGGGAGAAATTCCCGGAGGCGGGCTTAGATCAGTGTGACTTTCATGTCAAGTAATCGCAATGATCCCCGTCCCTTAGGTGCCAAGAAGTGGCTGGGATGGAGGAAAGAGATCGAACTGCTTTCTGATGTAGCCTACTTCGTCCTTACCACTCTGTCAGGTAAGGTGCCGAGTAACTGCCTACTTGGCATTTCTCCTAGCAGCGTGAAAAATGAGCTGCCTGACCTGGGCGGCTGCTCTTTGTTGGTGACCACCAACTGCAATGAGGCTGCTTGACAGGGATTTTCTTTAATGTGTGTGTGTGTGTGGGGGGGGTTGGTTGGTTGTTTTCTATAAATGCATTTTATTAAATAGCAAACTACTAATTCAGAAGTTTGAGTTCAAATGCAGCAGTTTATCAACTCAGACATATGTTCCTTTAAAAGCAAAAGTTCTTTTTTAAAAAGGGATGCATGACGCTATGAAAAAGTATCCCTGCTTCAAGCCTAAAAGCACTGCAGATACTGGTGCTGCAGATGCTGATGTAAACATAATGCTCACCTGAATCAACACAGAAAAATGCAACTATTTTTGAAACTCCAAAACCTGATGCGTTCTGGCCCGCGCAGCCCGTCACCACTGCTCACCCATACAGAGACTGATGCTGCAATTGCCATCTTACCCTGCATGTTTTCTGTTGCGCACGTTATTTAGGTTATCAGACTCTGGGTGAAGAGTATGTGAACATTCTTCAAGTTGACTCAACCAAGAAACGGGTACCTTCTTTTCTTCGACGGGCCATCTTTGTTTCTCTTCATACTGTAGTACCCTATTGCTTAGAAAAGGGATTACTGCATCTGGAACGTGAATTGCAGACAGAAGCTGATGAGTTCAGAACCTCGCAGAACAATCCGGCACCTGGCTTATCCAGTAGGACCTTAGTACAAAACTGGATACAGAAACAAGTTTGGGAGCTTACAGAACAGCAGAAGAAAACAGTCTTACAAATTGTGCATGTTCTTAAACAATGCATACCTTTGCTTCATCGACTACATCTGGCAGTATTCTACATAAGTGGCGCTTTTTATCACCTGTCTAAAAGACTTACAGGAATCAGATATGTAAGTAGATGTACTCCTTGTCTGAAGATGGTGTCCACTGCAGTGTTTTGGCCTGTTTTGGAGTGCCATGTGTGTAAAAGGGATATAGAATTTGGCTATAGCTGATTATAATATGGGCAGAGCAGACTGGGCAAGAGGGAAATTTTTAATACTATGTAGAAGGGTTATGAATCCCTACAGTCAAAGGTTATGGCTATTAAATGTGAATGCAGAGTCAGAAGTTAATACCCTACGTAACTTCAGAACACTATCTAGTCTAGTCTGTCTTCTACAAATACACAAAAAGTGAGAAGTGGCTTAATAAATCCATGGGAAATACTTAAGTATAGTTTTTACTAAAATCGGCACACTACTTTAGATAGTATTTTTCTATACGAAGAGCTTAATTTCACACGGTCTTTTCAATAAGTATCTTTCAAAAAAACATCAGCCGCTGGCCCAGAAATGTGTATAGACGCAAGGCTCCTCAATTCCCAACATCAATGTGGAAAAGAGGTGTCTGACTATTTGCTCAGAGCTACATAACAAAACCAAACTGATTAAAGCAGTGGTTTTGATGGACAGACAACTCAAGACAACTGATCCTTGCACAAACAGCAGTTAAGTGTAGCCTGTCTGAACGAGATGTATCCAGGACACATTAGACCTCCTGAGAGACAGCAGGTTGATAAGCCCTAGAAATGTATCAGTTTTTTAGACAGAAATGAGAATCCCAAATCCAAGAGTTTATTGATATGGGGGTGGGGACATAGTTTCATAAAACCGCAGTAACGAAACTTCTCTATTTCTGTGAATTATGTAGCTGCATTTTGGAGGACTGCAAGGAGAAGATCAGAGTATTCGATCAAGTTACAAGTTTCTCGGCATAATTTCACTCTTCCATCTTCTTCTAACAATTGGTGTTCAGATGTACAGCTTCAAACAGAAGCAGAGAGCAAGGCAGGAGTGGAAACTACACCGCAACCTAGCTCATCAGAAGTATGATGATTTTTACTTACTAGGAAAGGGGTGGAAGCAGTGGTGGGAAATGTAATAGCTTTCGTAAACAAGGAGAACACTGGAGTGACACTTTGACTTAAGTTAGAACCTGATGTAATGTTCGATGCGTTCCTCACTGTTTTAAGCATCTCTGACACTTCATGCTTTGCTTTCATGTTTTTGAGATCTTCACAAAAAGGGTTAATACTTGAACAAGGGGTTTACTTTAGGATTGTGTTATCAAATATTTCTTACAAGCAGGCTAAATAAAATGAAGTAATATGTAACTATGTTAATTAGAAATATGTCCAAGGAAAAAACTACTGGGCGCCACTCCCGCTGCACTTTGTGTTTGGAAGAACGGAGACATACCACAGCCACACCTTGTGGCCACCTGTTCTGCTGGGAATGCATCACGGAATGGTGTAATACCAGAGTAAGTACAGGACAAATGGAGGCTGGAAGGGGTAAACATGATGAAATTTCTACTTGAAAATACCTGTCAGCCTGGGTGTTGAAATAATAACCTTTCTCTCACTAAGGCACCCAAAATCCCCACACAAGAGTTTACCAGGACCTACGTATTTTATTAGAATAGAATGACTATGCATTACATAGGTGAGGTAAATAAGGTGAGCAGTTTTCTGTCCCAACCATTGAAATGCCATCAGACTACTGTGGAAGTCAGACATGGAGATAATTCCTGTATCTACAGACCTACACTATAATTCTGACTGCAAAGAAACA